CCGAGAACTTTATTTCAATTAGAAATGCCCAATTATAATGAATGCCTCTAATGAAGATGTAAAAAGACAGGAATGAAAGCAAAGAAATGAGAACACTGAAGAGATAGGTTCTAAAGGGCAACAATTATTGAGTTTCTTGTAATTGACTTCAGAATTCACCATCTCCCTTAAAAGAAGAAAATCTGAATTACATATAATGTATTAGTATCAATTATACTTTGGGAGTTTTTCCAGGTGGTTCACATAAACAGGTAAACAAGTGCATATGAGGGCATGTGTATCAATGTGAGTAGTTTAGGATAAACAATGTTAATTTTAAAGTATACTAGACAATAAAAGGTTAATCCTTACCTTGCTCTTAACTCTCTATTGTCTTGTTCAGATATACTTGCGAAAAAGTTGGAAGAAAATAAATTGCCAAGTGCCAGCCTCTACTCATTTTAACCTATGGGCTCATATTTTAACTGTAAAAAAAAATTTAGATTTCTCTTAATTCTTAATGACTAAAACATTATTTCTGCCATCTCGGGTTCATGTGGCATGCATGTGGGAAACTTTTCTGACCAGCTCTCAAGAAGCAAAAATTCAAGGGTTCTGGCTAGACTTGCAATCACACAAGTAGCATTAGAAGCAAAGCCTATTTGAATGAAATCTGTAAGCACAACATTTTCCCTCTGCAAATTGGCATCTGTCTAAGGATGGAACAGCACACTCAAACTGATGCTTGTGTAAGCAGATAGATTTAAGTCCACAGGCAGGGAGACTTTGACAAACTTGACTACTACTGATAATCCATTTCTGCTCTATTTTTGCCCATAAGGAAGTCTAAGGCTTGTAGGAAACTCCACAGGAAGTCTATATAATAAATATATGCCTACTGTTTGTCTACTATCTATTAAAGTTTTAATTCCATGATTTAATTTAATTTTCACATTTCTGTGAGTTAGATAGGTTGGTTTTATCATCTCTTTTTCCTGATAGGGAAAATGAGGATGACAAACTTGAACGATGACACAGCTAAGAAGAGAAGCCACCAGAATTTGAATCGAAGTCTAACCCCAAAGCCTCTGCTTTTTCTTCTCTCCCCACAAAGCACCAATCTTACATAAGCCTTTTAAAACATGCAATTAGTGGCTTGGGATGTGTAGGAACTTTACTCCTGGTGCTCATCTATCAGTATTTGTCTTTCTTTCAGAACAAAGGAGGTAGATACTTCATCATTATGAGGATAAGTCTGAAATAATCTACCCCTGTAGAAAAGTCTGTGTAAAGTACTCTGAATAGAAGAGACCAGAATGAATATACTCTGTTTACTATGTCTCACATTTAAATATTATTCTATAGACAAAAAATGATATCTGTGGTTGTTAATATAATCACAGAGGCAGAGAACATTCTCTCACCCCCATCTTGAATGTGAGTCATTTCTACGGGACACTTTCTACAAGAATATTGCTATTGCTATAACAAATTAACCATAATCCCCTCCCATATTCCAATTGTGGAAAATCTTCCTTAACAAAATTCCATTTAAAAAAGAAATAAGGTGCAGAATGAACCACAGATTTCCTCAAGGAAACTGGGGCAGGGGCGGGGCCAAGGATGAAACTGCTTCATGGATTTCTTTTTCTTTTCGTCTTGTTTAGGTATTCAAACAACGCAAGAGCTATGGACTCTCAGAGTATACCACTGAAGGGGAGACTGCTTAATAAGAAGACGAAGAGGAAGGGAAAATGGTGCCTCTAAGATTCCCGTTAATAATGCATCTGTCGGTAACCCTTCCCCACTACATCCATGATCTGCCAGTAGCTGTTCCTCCTTATGGCCCTTCCCGGATACTTCACTTCTTATACATTTGGAAATGATTTCAAAGTGAGAGCTATATAAGTAACATTTCCCCCACTTCCTGTCATGCTCTTAACTAGATGCAGCATAGAGATTAGAACATGAGAACAAACTGAGGGCTGATGGGGGGTGGGAGGGGGGGAGGGTGGGTGATGGGTATTGAGGAGGGCACCTGTTGGGATGAGCACTGGGTGTTGTATGGAAACCAATTTGACAATAAATTTCATATATTTAAAAATAAATAAATAAATAAATATAAATAAATTAAATTAAATTAAATTAAAAAAAAAAAAAGAACATGGACTCTGGAGCTGTTTGGCTTGGATTTGTATCATAGCTTTGCCATAGACTCGGGCATGTTGAATATGCTTCAGTTCTCCATACATGTAATGGGGATGATAATGTCTCCTTCACAGAGTTGTGAGGATTAAATGTAGAACAACAGTGTCTGGAACAGAGTAGGTTTTCAGTAAATGTTAGCGATCAAGAAGTAGTATCTAAATTCTCCATTTCCATACCCATGTACAGTTTATCCTTAAACAACATGGATTTGAAATGCGTGGATCCACCTATATGCAGATTTTTTACAGTATAGTTCTGTAAATGGATTTTCCTTACGGTTTTCTTATTAACATTTTCTTTTCTCTAGTTTATTTTATTGTAAGAATACAGTATACAACACATATCATGTACAAAATATGCATTAACAGCCTGTTTATGTTCTTAGCAAGGCGTCTAGTCAACAGGAGGCTACTGGTAGTTAAGTTTGAGGGGAGTCAAAAGTTATACCTGGATTTTCGAGTGCACAGGGGTTGACTCCCCAAACTCCCATGTTGTTCAGGAGTCAACTATAATTATAAAAATTCCATTGACACTTTCGATTTAATTGTGAAAAACAGGGTTTTTGTTCCAACCTTCATTAGATTCTCATAAAGTACTCAGGGAAAAATATCCCATCTGTCTATGAACAATATTTCAAACCTCACTGGTCACTAACTTCCCTCCACCTTCAAAGCTTTTCCATACTCCTATGCTTTATGGTGACATGTTTTTAATGAGTTGAAAGAGGAGCAGTCACACTCCGCCATGTTTATTTCTTTCAGTTTTTAATGTGAGTAATAAATATTTCCATTTATTTTTTAATTCACTCTCAATGACAACCCACCTAATGGCATGTTAATCTCTTCATGTTTTTCCCCCTATATAGACATATGGCCATTAAAACCAACAACTGTTGTATTTCTTTTAAATCACATAAACAATTAGAGTTACAGAAAGTGACCCACTAGTCCCAGGTTTTTGAGGACTTTCTAGATTTAAGCACTGAAAAGTCCCATGTCCAGAGAACTTTTTTGATCCTGGACCAATTGAGACACTTGGTCTTTCTACATTATCCATATTGGACAAATACATAGCAATTGTCTTTAACATATCCCAAATCGTTACATAATGAAGCATAATGAAAATAGCATTGGACTTGGGACTCAGAATTGCTGGTTTCAAGTAAGTCCTGGCTTTGCATTCAACTTTTGCTGTGACTTCAACAAGTCAAACATTCAAGGTTCTCATTTACACAATGAAACTGGAATACTGGTCTTTGCTACACTAGGGCTATAGTCAAGGCCATTGTAATAATGGTCATGCATACAGAATCTTGATGAAGAAAAAAAGTTTCACATATGTTTTCTCATCTGATCTTAAAATTTAGCACAGAAGTTGCTAAGTGGTATTCCTACCTATTCATGGTGGTAACTAAAATTTAGAAGTTAAAATGAAGTATTACACATGAAGTTAAAGTTCATTTTGCAGATATTTCATGTCCAAACATATACACAAACAGCTTTATGTTTAATCAATAATAAAAATTCACATCTCTTCTGGCATTCCAATTTATTCTGTCATAAGAGAGTTGCCCAACTCTCCCTTTAACTTTTGTAATGCAAATGGCTTCTTAGTCCAAAAAGAATCAGTAAGAAAAGATCATGTTAAGTACTGCTTCCACCAGTGAGCATTTTCACATATAATTATACAGATGCTATTTTTCTAGGGTAACCCATTTCTTTGTAACTACACAATGTGCTTGTGTACAACCAGATTCTGAAAATAGACTTCCAGTTAGCCCTTTACAAGCTCTGTGACCTTGAGCCAGTTGTATAGCCTTGCTGTGCCTATATCTGTGCATTTGCATTTGTAGAATGGAAATAATAATAGTGCCTACCACATAGGATTGTTATGAGGACTACATGGATGGATACAGGAGAAAAGCCTTGAACAATACCTGGACCAGTCCAACTATTCTAAAAAGTGTTTTATCATGCTTATTACTTTGAGGCACTCACTGCCCTCAAGGAGAGGACAAGATATTGACTAAATTTGACTATGGCACTCAAGGAGCATTATATACACTTTGGGGGAAGTGATCCTGGGTCATGGGTCAAGCAAGGTGACCGCAAAGAACACCGTGTTTATTCTCTTCCTTTAACTTAGAAAAGGGGCCTAACCTTTCTCTGCATTCATTTCCTTATATGCTTTATAGAATCAACTGTTGAAAACCTTCATCCCAAATCATTTCCAGGTTTCAGATATGTTTAGTCTTCAATAACTTCTCTTCCCAAATAGGACATCAGAACTTTGAACCTTTCAGGCACATACCAGGGTCAACAAAAATAGTTTCTGTCTCTATCTCAGTGCCTTCTATTCTGAATATTTGTGTTAATAATGTGCTTCCTCGGTGCTCTAAGCCAAAAGATTGTTTTCATCCTAACCCTTTCACAGGTTGCCTTCAAAGAAACGTTGCCAGAACATCAATATTTTCTCCATTAGAAAGCTTAAGAATTGTTTCCCACTTAATTCAGTAAAAATGTGGGTATAATTGGGGATGTCTCACTCAGACAGCTGAGCTGTCATCAGGCGAGGTCATGGTGACTATTTGGCACAGCCCCTCCGCAGTCCTGTCTTGCTGTCCCTGCTTCCCCACCCTCTCCTTAGTCCCTTCCTAATTCTTTCACTACACCGGGGAGATGATCAGTGATGTACTGCTGGGAACAACTATTGAAAGTGCAATTATTCCTTGCCCTACTCCTGCTGAAATGCAGCTCATCATATCGTACTTGGTTTTATTAATTACCAAACTTTTCCTTTAACTCTTTCAACAGCATGGTACCTACTACTCAGTCTTCTTCATCGGAGAAACAAAAGTGTCTTAAAGAAGGTAATGAGATCTTTTCACTTTTTTCTACCTGGTGTATTTAATCATTACGGGCCAATGGGAATGGCATCTAAGGAGGGTGCGGGGACTGTAGGGAAGCTTGCATGACATTTTCCAAGCTTGGAACCCATCTCCAGAGCTACACAGAGCTAACGTACCAATGGCCACAGTGGCCCTTGATTCAGCTCAGCCACACTACAACCCTGGCTACCTTCCTGATTTCCTTCATGGTCCCGTTCAGGTACCTGCAGCAGTATCGTCCCCAAAGTAGAAGGTCATGGGATTACACAAGCTTGGAGTTGGGTTCCTCCAAACAAAAGTGACCCAATCAGTCAATTTTCGCCTGTTTAAATTTCCCGTTAAGGCTCTTCAGAGATTCAAGTTCAGCAATGTACCCAGGGGTTTGTCTTATGGATGGCTAATGTTCTTCCTTATGTTCATTTACACATTTCTCTGCCACATTCCAGACTGCTTTATCTCTGGATAAAGCAGATATCCCTATCTTTTACTTTTATCTCTGCTATATTCCACACTTGCTTGTTTGATTCTCCTAATTAATGAGGCTTTTCTTTTACTATCTTACCAATATGGAGAGTCATTTCTTTATTTTTTTTTTAAGTCCCTTGTATTCTGGAGGCTGGAATTCACATCCCATTACTCGATCTCCCCTTAAGTATCAAGAGTAATCAGTTATTGAGTTCTAATGATTCCTCTTCCATGGATTTGTATCACATCTTCTCTCTCTCTTTTTTAATCCCTATGACACAATCCTAATAAAAACAGCAACCACTACAGTTTACTGAAGGGATTTGTCACAGAGATTGGAACTTCTGCAACTGTGGCAGCTGGTTAAGTGGTCTTTTCAAGATTAATGTCTTTGCATCTCGTTAGAGCTTAAAATCTACTCGTTAGACAGTCATTCCCAGGAAGGGAAGATGGAGATAAAGGAGGGGAGAGCAAGGAAAAGTTGGAATCCATGAACATGATCTGGAATCCACAAGGAAAGACTGAAATCCCTGTGATGACACAGGTTTCCTCTGACACAGGTTGCCTATTGCCTCTGTCTGACCTTGATGATGTAAGTATCTACAGAAATCAGGGCCTTTCATCACGGACTTAAACACACACAACTGGCCCAGGATTCAGAGATGCTGAAGAAGGATCCCAAGGAAGGTGGGATGCTTGCAGGCCTGACTGCCGCCTCTAGTGAATGGGTTGGACATGTTGTGTGAGTTACAAAGTGCGTGTAGCTTCCCTTCTGCCCCCCACGTAGCTTGCAAGGAGCTCCCTTGTGGCTCACCCTATCTGGAAACATACAGAAAAAGGAATTCTGAGAAAAGTAGTTCAGCCTAGCGAAGTTGATGCATTACAAAGGTGCTCCTCATATTTTCCAATTAATTGCTCATGACAGTTTTGAGTTGCATTTCCTATTTTGCCAGTGATTCACAACCCACCCTAATTAGGACTAGAAACTTGCTTTATTCTCTTATGAAGGTCTTAAGGTATTACTGAATTCCTATGTTTTGCCTGTACTATGCCACTTAAAATTTAATTGGATACTCACTTAAGTTAGCCTAATTAACTTCTCTATTGGTTAGAATTGCATTTCTCTGCAAATAACATTAAAGTTAAAGAAACAAACAAAAATTATACCTTAAACAAAGTTAAAAAGTATTTCTTTTTCACCTAAAAGAAGTAGGAGTCTTGAGCTGGTTTGTCCATGAACATAAGAAACTCAGGCTTCTTCTATCAATAAGATAAGTCCTAGCACCTGTAAAGTTACTTCACGGTCCATGAAGGCTGCTAGATCTCCAACCATTGCACCTAGTTTCCAGGAAGAGACAAAAATTCAAAGAACTTACCTCCCAGCTCCCTTACAGATTTCTTGAAGATTTCCTGCAAATCCTGAAGAGCAACTTCCACTTGCATTTCAGAGCTTCAAGAGGAGCTGAGAATTAAAGCCAGAGCAAAGTACATTGCTCAGCAGGAAATGAATATTAAGAAGGAAATAGCAACGTCTGCTGCAATTTCTAAGAAGAAATACTCCCTACACAAATCATACTTCCCAAGATGACATACTACTTCCTTCATTAGGAATGAGAACATTATCCAATATGAGGGTGGGCTTTAAGAAAACAGTTAATTTTGTGTCAGGTGACTTCATTCAACATTGCCAACAAATACTTTTGAAGCTGTGCACTTACAGTATGGAGATTACAAAGAAAGTCTTCAAACGCTGAAGCTGAAGCAGTGGAGATGATACAGAAGTTTTGCAGTCTTTGCAGGAAATGTGAATTACTGCAAAAGTTGTGCAGAGAGTTATGAGAGCTCAGTGGGGCGCTAGGTGCCCATCAGCAGGAACTGGACACTGATGAATACAGGACTGAGACTGCACGTTGAGATCTACGTGAAGCCATCACGATTTCAACGAGCTTGTGGAGAGTGCAGGGGTCAAACACACAGGGGTTTATTAGTGTATCAGAGGGCCTTTTCCCAGTCAAGAGAAGGAAGGGGCCCTAAGAAGAAAAATTTGATAAGGATACAGAGACCTGCAGAAGTGGAGGAAGCTATGAGGAATTTACTTTGGACACAGATCAGTGTCTGTTGAATATTACAGCATGTGAGCCTGAATTACCCACAATTCCTCACAAGTATTGCTTTAAAGGTAGTGATTCATCCACCTGATCACACCAGCATCGAAACACTTTCCTGTCTTCATCATTAAGAGTGTTATGCCAGGCAAAACATAACTGTGATGAAACCAATTCAGTGTTCTGTCTTTGTACTACCTTCCCCCTTAGCATTTAAAAAAAAAAAAAAGAAGTTTGTTTCTCAAAAAAAAGTATTTGTCACTTAGCCAAGTTGATTTTTATATATGAAATATGATGACACTCTAACGAGACTAGTATCTCACAGATGCAGTGGCATTTATGCATCCTAGTGAATACCATTTCCTTCAAAGTGTTGTGGGGGCTGAGGCGCCTGGGTGGCTCAGTTGGTTAAATGTCCAACTTCGGCTCAGGTCACGATCTTGCTGTTCATGAGTTTGAGCCCCAAGTATGGTTCTGTGCTGACAGCTCAGAACCTGGAGACTGCTTCACATTCTGTGTCTCCCTCTCTTTCTGCTCCTCCCCCACTCACACTCTGCCTGTCTCTCCCTCTCTCAAAAATATATAAACAAACATTTTTAAAAACACAGTGTCATGGGGGAAGAAAGCACAGTTACAGTGGCTGTTTTGGGAGCTCATGTTCTAGAATTCAACAGTGGCGGGAGGGGGGGCGGGGAGCACTCTCACATATGCTTCTTGTTTTCCATCCCGCTTAAGTAAAGGAGGTCCCAAAGAATGAGTCTGTTCAAATGGTAGGCACTGCAGAGGCCCAGAGCATGTAGTTAAGGGCACAGGCTCCAAGGACAGGGCACCCAAGTTCAAATCCCAGCTCTGCTCCACAGAAGCCGGGTGAGTTTCTTACCACCTTTTTTGTCTGTTTTCTTACTAGCAAAGTGGGGATGTGAAAAACAGTTCTACATCAAAGGGTCTTGGGCAGGTCTGAGGCTCCGGGTCAGGTTTAAGTTATTTTAGCTGTGAGGAGAAGATCCCTGGGAACAACAAAAAGAGGAATATGGAATTGCTGATAAGTAAGAACATTAAACTTCTATTTTTTCCTCACAAAATATTCTTAAGCAATTAAGATAAATCTGAACAACCAAGTACCTGCTATTTAAAAAAAAAATAAAAATGGAGCATTTTTTATAATTCATGTCTTAAATCTTTTAAAAATAACAGATTCTCAATAATGTAAAGAAAGAGCAGAACAAGGTGTTTCTAAATTAGCATTCCTGTTTTGAGGACAAATTAAAAGTTACTGAGAAATGAAGGGGGAGGCTCACGTTCCTCATTTAGCTTGCCTTCAAGCGTGTGGAGTCTAAGCTCTATGCTCTGGAACGATCTTACTGCGACCCCTCAGTAATCCTATGTACATGGAATTATGTCAGCTTGACAGGTCAAATTTAATTTGAGGGAACAAATTGGAAAAGTAGAATGAGTTATTGGGTAGTTTTAAAGATCTTCAAATTGGAGATTTTTTGTAGTCTTTACAGATTAATTACAGTCTTACTGAATTTATCAAATCTATTTTTATTCCTCATTAAGAACTGAGTGGTTATCGCCAAACCACATGTAAAAACAGGACTGCCATCTGTGTAGTTACAAGGCCCCGGTGGAGATGGATCCATCGGGCTCCATGACTCTCTCAGAGCTCAGGACAGCAGACCAACCAAGTGTGCCTGCCAGCATCAAGTGGGTCTTGCCGTGAAACTGCTCACACGCTCCAGAAATATTTATGTGCATTTGGGGTTTTGCACGAGTATGTAAATTCATATGTGTGGAAATGTATGGAAACGACAGTTTTGACCAAAAGTGTGTTTCTTTTTTCCCAGATAGACCCAGATTTGAAGAATTCACACGGGTCCTTGATTGTGTGTTTAGGTACTTCGCAACTCATGGCCGTGGTTAGAACGTTCTAGTTCTTGGCCATGGCTGTTTTCTTCATTCATCTTTGAAAGGATACATTTGTTTTCAGGCAGCATATCCTTATTTATGCAACATGTATAGGCTTTCTTTCTGGTTGTGAGCATTGTACAAACAGTACCTGAAAGTAATTTCTACGATGAGCTTGAATCAGATGGAGGGGAAAACCTTTATTAATGCACAAAGCAAAATTCTTTCAAATCAAGATGAAAGACTGTTTTCAGAGTACACATTTGCAATGGATTTCAAATATCATTTTTCCTTTTTTTTCCTATTATTTATTTTTCCCCCTGTTTCAAAGTGTTAATCTGATGCTTTGAGAAAGTTTTCTTTAAAAAAAAATTTTAAGATGCTCATTATGAACTCACTATAAGCAGTTCAAAGGAAAATCCCTAGGACTCCTGTAAGTTTCAGGAGATGTGAAGAACACTTTTGTGTCTGGTATGATATTATATTTTGACCTTCAGAACACTAGCAGGGATGTCAGTAGGAGGCAGCAGACATATATGAGCATTATATGGGTGTATAAAAAGATAAAGCATCATTTTCCAAAAGAGTTCTACTGGACTAGGACATGAAACACACACACACACACACACACACACACACACACACACACACAGTGGGCAGGGTGGGGGAGGAAAGGAAGAGAAGACAGAATTCCATGGTCAAATACATTGGGGAAATGTTATATACTCTATCCCTTCATAGAGATATCCAATACATTTCCTAATTTTAAAAGGTATGAAACACTCTGTAATGAAGAAATCTGTTTAACCGACAATTTCTCCACGTGTTTGAACCACAGAATCCTTATTATTTGGGATTAGCTGGACTTGAGTTTTCAGTAAAACACTTTGAGTTCTCAGTAAAACAGTAATCACCAGATAAGGTCTGTACCAAGGACTAGCCAATGCATTAATTTTTAAATAACTCTCCTGGAAACTTTAGTCATATTTTTCCTGTGAGCTAAATTATTTTGTCTGTACAGTAGTCATTCGTGCTGTTTGAACCTCTATAAGTTCAGAGGCTAACACTGGAATGTTAAAGTTTTGTCTGTAGAAGCCAGGAGATGAAGCCTTATTTAAATCAAGAGATAATTACTTTTCTAACCCTAGTACTAGTTTGGCAATGGTCTTTTCTTCTTCCACTCCCAGGTAAAAATTACAATAGTTTACACATATCTCCCATTTGCCCATTGTGGAGTGAATAGTATCTCCCGAGAAGCAGACAGGTAAGATCACCCGCCATTTTATTAAGAAGAAAACGGAGCTTCTCAGGTGCTAAGGAACTTCACTAGTAAGGAGCAAGAAGAACCAAACCTAGGTCTGTCTGACTCCACCAGCTCTCCTCTGGATCACACAACCTCCCTCCACCGTGAGTTTACCTGCCTTCCTAAGGGCGGTTACCTTAAACTAATCACCGCCACTGCACACCTCTGTCATCACCATCATCACCCTGTGTTACAATTAATGACTTACTCGTGCTCTTCTTTACCATTTGTGGAGTCTGCCACACTGTCCCTGAGTGACAATGTCTTTTGTCTCAAAATATCCAGAATTTACCATAGGGCCTTGGCAAATTGCAAATATAATAACAGCTAGCACCGATTAGGCAGTTACTTTGTGTCAGGACTTGATTTAGATGCTTTAAATGTATTACCTCAATTTCTCCTAAGCACTATTATCATCTTCGTGTTACAGATGAGAAACCTCAGGCTCAGAGATGTTAAGCAACCTGCCCAAGAAAACACACCCAGTAAATGAAAGGGAGCAAGATCTGAGCATAGTACAGACAAGTGAACTCCCTGCTGAATTATAAATGAGTAAAAAGAGCTGCAACATTATTGAGTTCTTTTTTTTTTAAGTTTATTTATTTGTTTTGAGACAGAGAGAGAGAGAGAGAGAGAGAGAGCACAAGCAGGGGAAGGGCAGAGAGAGAGAGAGAGAGAGGTAGAGAATCCTAAGTAGGCTCCACACTGTCAGTGCGGGGAGTCCCTCCCATGCAGGGCTTAGTCCTAAGAACTTTGAGATCATGACCTGAGCTGAAATCAAGAGTCAGATGCCTAAGAGACTGAGCCACCCAGGTGCCCCTAAATTCTTCTGTGCTAGGCATCTTTCTAAACTGTATATGAATTGTGACTTTTATTCTTTACAATTCTACAATTCTTTTACAGGGTGGGTGATTATTAACCACCTGCTTTTTAGAGAGGGAAGTTGAGCAGAGAGACCTTTAATAACATATTCAAAGCCACAAAGCCTAGTAAGTGACAGGACCACGATTAGAACTGACTCCAGAACCAAAGTTTTATCAATGAATAATTAAGTTTTTAGAAAATGAACTAATTACAACACAACTCAGTAGAGAATCACAGACCTAAATTCTTTTTCATTCCTAAGAAGCAACAAAAAGTGTTGTCACATTCTTCAAAATTCTGGCTCTCCCTAAATGAGAGTGAATATTTTGGTACAACATTCCTTCTTGTGGCTTGTATATTTAAAACAAAATTAATTAAGATTTTGATTTGGCCTCTCTTGAGAGAAAGAGATTTGAAATATTTGAAACCAATTATCAAAAAAGAAAGCAAATCATCAAAAGAATAGCCTCTAGATATTTTCAAAATTCCTCCAAATAAACATGCTTAGTCTAGATCCTTTACACTCCTCCTCAAAGCAAATATTCCTCAGCTCTAAGCTGCCCTAAAGGACCAGGAACCAGAAATAAATGGGAACGGTTAAATGAGGAGAGAAAACAACAAGCATCATTAAAAAAAATAACTTTGTATTTTCATATACAACTCTGGGAAGGCAGTTCTCTGCTGCCCAACAGCTGCATAATGTTCAGCAAAAATTTGCCTCTCTGGATTTATGAGGTATAAAACACAGCCATCATCAGATCTGAAATGATGATACCAGTCCTGAAATCACCGTGTCAACATTTAGAAACTGCAGTGGACGGGAAATGAAGATGATTAAATTATGGGTGGCAGAAGGTGTTGGCAGGCAGAACACAAGCAGCCATTTCTATAGGGAAACACTCATCAGAAGTGGGCTGTAGATGGCCAGTAGGCAGTGGCCAGGGGCAGGCGGCCAGGGCAGGTGGAAGGAAGGAGGCCTCTAATACTTTAGTGACTGCTAAAGAAAGGCAGGACAGTCATACTCTCTTTCTAGGTCACCTGGATCTTTGATGATATCAAATCTGGCTACTTCAGTCCAGTCCCAGGATGACAGAGCATTTGCCATAGTGCCCTGCGGCCCTCTGTGAAATGATAATAAC